AAATTCAAAAGAATTGAGTTCTATAACATGAATCAATGTTTTATATTCTTAGGAATGACTATTGCTCATGTTTTTATAACAAATTCGCTATATGACTTTATATCTTGAGAAATTCTTTTTATTTTATACACTAGAGATTATTAATAGAAGCCATTCGAAGAATAAATGAGAAATACCAACCGCTTTCGTACACCTTTATAATAATATCTTCAAAGAGTAAAGTGGAAAAATAAATGCACAATGAATCTGATTAAAGAAATACATCAATACTTTAATAAAGGACGTTAGATTAGCAATGATTTAAGAAGACAAACCGGTTTTAAAATAAAAGCTTTTAAAAATATATATATATAAGGTTAGAGAAAGAAAGAGAAATAAGAAAACAGTAAGAAATTACAAGAGAGAGAACATAAGATTTGAATTGAAATTTGATTACATTAAATCCTCATGAGAAAATAGATTTTTCTCGAGAGGGTCTAACGCAATATGTTCTATATTGCTGGCCCTCGGTTTTGTTCATTAAGTCAAGTCTGACTGTCAATCATCTTGAAAGATATTGAATTGGATCCTTCGTGATTGAAAACTTCCTTATCGCGCGGCCAACTGGTCAAAAATCTCAAAGGATTCGTTATAAAGATAGAATACTATTAAAAAATTAACACGAAGAAGAAATATGATATTTTTATTTGAAATACAATAGTCTACGATTATAATAAATTCTTTGATCTGATAAAAAGTGAATTAATGAAATAACTGAGTTAATGTTTACATGGTTGTAATTGAAAACAATAAAAGAAATATTTGATTCTGAAAAAGTAATACAGTTTAGCTATTGAAAAACGTTGGATTAGAAAACAGTGAAATGGGTTGATGTTAGAATATATAAAGACAATGGATATTGCATGTTTGAGATCGGTGAAGAAGTTGTCTGATTATGATATTATCTTTAAAACTGAAGTAGTGAATAAAGGGGCGAAGAAAAATTTTAAAGAAGGAAAAAGAAATAAGCAAAATAAAAAGATTAAAAAGTTTATTTTGATTAATATTATTTGAATACGCTTGGATATAAAAGAATTATTATGTATTTACAAATTACTATTCAGTATGTCATTCAGAACTTGACCGAAATTTTTAAATATTGTTTTAAAAAATTATTTATAAATTTGGAAAATTATTATATAAGAAGTATTAAAAGCGCAGACAATCTTATGCGATATAAAAATGTATTTTAAAATTTAATTAGTCCTATGAATTGAAGAGAGAATAAAAATCCTTGAAAGCATTTCAATTCTAAATTTTATTCTAAGTTTTTGGTTCGCATAAATGATGTTTTTCAAAGTAATTTAGTATTCTGGAAAATTCTTATTAAAAACGTTATTTAAAATGCCATCCTAAGAGTTACACATAAAATATCCGACGTAAAAGATATTACAGTATAAGAGATTGTTTGAGAATTGTTCTAACAATGATTGGCTGAATGAAATGAAAGAGCATGTTTCTGTCTATTTCTATTTTTCCAACCAATCGATTTGAAAATAATTTTTCTCCAACAAACCTTCGATAAAAATCTTTTACAGTTAATATTTTAGATATATGAAAGTTGACATATCATTAAAGTGTAAAAGAATGTTATGTTTTTCTACATTTTCATACTTATTCTATATGATATGTATTTTGGAAAACCGAATAGAGATATGGTGATAAAATTAAATATTACAGATTAAAACACCTTTAAAGTTTTAATTAGAAAAATTTTGAGGCATTTTTTAAAATTTATATAATATTTACTTTAATTTTAAAAATTTCAAACGACGTATAGAAAAATGTCAGGCAAAATCGGTTAATTAAAATATATTTATTTTTTATTTTAAAACGTGTGTTATATGTTAATTATTAATACATAACATATTAATTCTATATTAATTAATAGAGTGAATAGAAATATTCTAAAATTAAAAATAGATTGTAAAATATTGATGAATCAAAAATCTAAAAACTCCTAACTGCCAGTTATTTATTGTTTCACCATTATTATGATTAAGACAACATAAAAATCCGGGAAAAAGATAAAGTATTGACTACATGCTACACGCTATTCTGATAAGCGTAATGGTCCCTTTAGTTATTTTTATAGGAATGTAAACTGTGCGTACATTGCTGTATGCTACTTTTTAGGTATGTTCTAATAATATAATAAATATTTATTTATACATTTTTTTATCAGATAGATATAAATATACATTGTAATGTACAAAAATCACGATAAATAAACTCTCCCGCAGAACAAAAATAAGTAAAGTTTATGTAATTATGACAATTTAATTTTTACGACATCGTATTTTGTCCATTAAAAAAAAGAGTAAAAATTAAAGTATAATTTATGCAGTTTTAATTTATTGTAATTTTAAATAATTTCCTTGCCACTTAGACAATTTCATAGATTGTAGCAGAGGAATGTCTTTCTATCGATTAACAATTCCTTAACAAGTCAATTATCTCAAAATGCTTCTTTAATCACTTTTCTTCTCTGGAAAAATTCTATAAACGATTATCTACTCTAATAAAATGGCTTTTTTGCATTTTAAAATAATCAAATCTTTTTTTTTCTTTAATCAATGTTTTTCATCCATGACTATTTTCTTATTACATAAATTAAATATCGGGGAAAACATTAAAAAAATCTCCATAATACTCCAATACGTTCGATATCAGCCGAACAGAAGGAGAGAGGAAGAGAGAGAAAGAAAAAAATAAACTTTAATAACTTCTAAATCTGTAAATTGTAATGGTCGGTGGAACATGGAGAAAGAAAAAATTTCAAAGATAGCATCTCACGTTGTACGCCCGACTAACCAACTAATCGATTATAAGAGGACATGTTGGTATGTCACCTGGCTATATTGACAACTGTCTCACGCCGGAATAACCATCAATGGCTGCAAAACGATCTTGCAAAGGCTACTAGAATATAATGTAGCAGAGTGAAGAATGTCTTTGTATAGATATGGATATTCCTACATCCTATATCTTACAATGACTGGCAGTTTAGGAGATAAGTGAGTGGGGGCCAACGTCTCCGAGGAGGATTCTATCTAGCTAGATAACATGGTCCATCACACAAGAATGACATCCGATGGTAGAAAGTTACTCATAGGAAAGCCAATGTTTTGTAGGTGTGAAAAAGCACCATTTTAATATCTTTCTATTCAGGCAAGTTAAGGATTTTACTTGGCATAGTGACTCATTCATGCAATATGTTTTTACACGTTATCATTGGATAAATTTATTCGTTTCTAAAGTCGAGATAACATTTTGTTTAATTTTTATTAAGTACTAGTAGAGATTTACGAGGGAGTTACAAAGGTTCACGCAGGTAATAAATTAATAATCTTTATAATGTCAGCTGGGGTTGCTTATATAACGAGAAAATATTTAAAAGTAAGATTTGATGCGTAATAAACTGTAAAACATAGCTTAAACTTTGTTAAATTATGAAATTAAAAGTATAGAATAATTTTGTTTCAGTAATAAAGTATTTTTATTAATTAAATATCCTTTAATAAGCATATAAATTAAATAACTTTTTGAAACCCTATGGAATAAAATTTGAGTTATGGGAACTTAAAAATTTTAATAATATTACTCTTTAATATCTATTTAATAATTTTAAAACTTTAATTTCGTAAGTTGTAATTAAGTATTAGTAAATTATCTACAAAATATTTACGAATTATTTGATCCAAATTTTAATCTTCGAAGAAATAAATTGAAAACATTTTAATTAGATTTAATGCAGAGTGTGGGTATCTTATATAAACGTAATCCCCAATGTATGTTTGCATCAATTTTTAACTAGTATAAAATCATTTATCCGAAGCTAAACTAAGAAGTTTGAAACTAAGAAGTTCTTAACATTTTAAGCATTTCTCAGGCCATTTCGTCTCTACTTTGTTTCTGGTCATTTACTAGCTTTTCTCTGAGTATAAAGTCAAAATCGATGCCGTGCCTTCAGGAACAAGCTATTAGCACCTATTGTCGAATGTATTTTAGACCACATTTACACTAGATGACAACACATTAGTCTCCTTAGTAGCAATGTTTACAGTGCAAACACGCGTTGGATGGTCGATGGCATCTTAAGTTTAATGCCCGAATAGTAAATTATCTAAAATGTATGCAATGAACGGAAAATAGACTACATTTAGGAGAAGATAAAAATTATTGAACAAGAGATGAATATATATTAAATATTACCTTCCGCTTAATCTACGGAGAGTTAATAATTTGCTTCATAATTTACTACTCTTCATGAATTTAGATTGTTTTCTATACAAATTTAGCCATTGTTTACTATATTAAATAAGAGATAATGTTTAAGCGTCAAGTATAAGTACTTATCTTTATACAAAAAGTCGTTATTCTCCATTAAACATCTTTTTAAATTCATTGTTGATAATGATTTAGAAAAAGTTTATACACTTGAAGGATACAAATAAATGTTTAAAATTAATTTTAAGCATTTTTATATATGCTTGACGAGATACAAGCAAGACTAATTGGTGTATTTGAAATTTAATTAGCTGACGTGTACAGAAATCAACATAAAAACAAGTTTTTATACGAAACTTCTAGATTAATAATATTAATTTATATATTTATTTTTTATTTATTCACAAAATTTTATTTAAAATTTAAAGAATGACAGATTGTTTGCCGAAACGAACTCTACAACTAATACTTTATAAGTAAAGTTTTTACGAATTTATTAATGTATTATCTCCTTTTATAAGTTGAATTACGAATTTTTAAATTGTAAAATGTTAAATTTTTTAATTAAAATCAATTTAAATTACAATTTTTTAGTGAAAATTATACGAGAGTTGTTATTTGAATGTAATAATGAAACTCGTTTCGACAATCAATAATCGTATTTAAAATAAATATAATACAGTAATAGTAATATTATTATTTAAATAATTTAAATTAATTTTTATATTTAGATGTATAGAGAAGGCCAGCTCTGTCCCATGCAATGGACAATTGCTTCTACAGTTGATAACATTACAGTTGAACGCATACCGTTATGGTTACCACCGGGACATCAAAATCCTTCATCAAACGTAGAAAGCCAAAGTGATAGAATAAACTTAATTAGCCAGTTAGTTGGTCTGAGGAACAATTCTGTGCCAATTGCCATGAATTCAGCGCCAGCATCTTTTTACCCGAGAGGCGGCAGGACAAATATAAGAGTACACCTGGATCAAGATGGTGTTTTAGTACTCGAGAGGTATTATCCTCGGAGGCACCGTTACGTGGTGGCTGCAAATTTCGGTCCCGAAAGGGTATCTAAGGACATATCCAACACGCTTTACGAGACCGTAATCATAATAGGGACGAATTCCGATAGGAAAGGTCTCAGATTAAATTTCAAAGATTTCGTCATAGATCCGGGCGAAGCTTTTGTTGGTGAATTAAGTACGTGACCCCAAAAAAAACACTGCTTTGAAAGAGAAATTTCTTTATCGAATCTTTAACACGCTCGACCACTCTCGGTCTTGTGCCAAATTTGATAAATCGGATGACATAAATCGTACTGTTGAGTGGGTACTTTTATTTTTTATATCATGTATATTCCGCCTCGTGCTTCCGAAAATATACAGAAAAAATACTATTTAAAAATCAAAGTTTAATTTAAGTTTAGAATTTGTTTTCTATCTCGATAAGTAGTTCATATCTTATACATAATGTCTAGTTTCTCAGTAAATTATAAATTACAAAAATTATTCATATAAAGAGTTTTACATCCAAAAGAGAAATATAAAAATTTATGAAGACATTTAAACTAATTTTAAAAGTGAATTTTGCACATTTGATTGCAAAATAAAGCGGAGACATCTCGTCCAAAAGGTAATCATCCCTTTTGTATAAACTCAAATCGTGGAAACTCCGTCCCCTCGATGGCAGTTCTGTGAATGTACGATCGTCTATTCGGAAGATATATGCTGGATAAATTATAAAAAAAATACCTGTCAGAAGCAAATATGACCAAATTATATAATGTTGGCAATCCGAATATTGTATAAAAAGCAATGTCTTTCTATCGAGTTGTATGCGATTACTGGTTGAAATATGATTTTGATATACGTAGGCATGTCTACAATGGAGGTAATAATAAGAAAGCAATTAAAGTAAAATATTTTTTAATCTTTATGCTTATTAAAATAGAAGTTAAAACAGGAAAACTCTATATCAATTGCATATGTCATACAAGCAGGCCGGATTTACTTATACTGTTGCCTCTGTAGAGACACTGAGGAGATCCCATCAAATATTATTGTCGACCAAAACAAAACCGTTTAAAGTGAGGTCTGTAAGACATGGCTTATCTAGCATATACGCAAATCCGATACCGCATACAAGTATTTTTGTTCTCTTCCCATCTTCAAGCGCTGTGCTGATAACCACGATTCCAGTTAATCAGCGAAAGTTTTCATTTGTTCTTGAAAGCCTGAACTTTTAATATCGGACCAAATGCACGATTTAGGTCATATACCCTTATCTGATAAGTACTTTTCACTGGTTCATCCAGTATATATAATTCGGAAGATCATTAATCAACCAAAGAATTTTCCCGTCAATTCTGCCAATTACCGAAAGATGAGTCTATCAATTTACTGATTATAATAATAATAATAATAAAACCGATCACAAAACTAAGATAAATTTTGTTAGATCGGACATAAAAGACAAAGTGGATCTTTACTGTGAAGTTTTTAACTGTTGTCTTGATTAAAAAGAAAAAAAGAAAAATAAAAAATGAAGTTTCTTGTTTCTTGACAATATGTTTTCTAATTTGTAGATGTGTTGCTACTTTCTGTATACGTCAATAGGAAACATGAATTGAATAAACGATTATTTAATAGTCGTCTAATTTATTTATGAAATCTTTATTGCTTCTTTTAAACACTTTTTTTAACTTATTATTTATGTAATTTATTTTTTTACTCAATTTTTTTCATAAAAACACGAGTAAGATTGAAAATAACTAAAGCTATCGGCTATAAAACATGAGAAAAATATATATTTTCAACTTATATTAGATCTTGCATAAATTTTTATAAATTTATATCAGTTTTATAATATAAATATAGAGCTATTACACGAAAATTAGGATCTAATCTAAAACTTAGAGTTTTAATAAAGAAAAATAGTTTTATAGGAGCATCATCTTACACCTCGAATTTTCGACTGATTTTTTTAAACTACATTTAGTTAATAGAACAACGACAAGTATTAAGATAAGATAAACTTACTTGAATTTTATTTAAAATATTTTCATAATCTAAAATTACATTGTTTTCTGATTTTTCTTGGCATCAGAAACATTTATCGTTATCGCTTTAGCTTTTTGATGTACTCGGGTATTTCTAAGTCATAAAAACTTGTCACCCTCGTCCATTTTCACTAAGTCGTGTGTGTAAACAAAACTTTCCGCAGATATTTATGTTTCTAAGTGCCAGAAGATATTAAAATCCATCATCCATAAAATTTTTCCGCTTTAAGCATTAAAGTGACTATTTATAAATCCGATACTGAATACAACCGTGTGCTATTTTTCAGATAAGTCGAGTTATCTACATTCAAACTTCGTCAGGTCATGGTGAAAGATAAATGACAAAATATGATTTTAGAAAATTATATTACGAAGTTGAACTTGAATAAAGCAACTAAAATTTGTATGAGAAAGTAATTCTTTAAAGGGAAATTTTTCTTATTTTTTAAAAAATAAAATTAAGCAGTTACAAACGTTTTAAACTTTTCTATAGTAAATTTATTTGATTATAAATACTATTTAGAAGCTTAACTTTCCCTTAAATCATTAAATGGTTAATTATTTTTCTCTGCAATTACGATATTTAATCTTTTATTCGTTATTCTTTTCGATACAAAATTAGAACTTAATTAGGTTCATTTATATTATATATATACTGATCACTTAATTATATTTATTTATATTTCATTTTAATACAGTCTGAAGATTTATATTTGAAATATTATGCAAACGTCGTTTCCAATTTCACTCATAATTTAAGTTTGTAATATTTATATTAATTTTCAATTTATATTTATATTTCTGAAGTTAAATATCAAATAATCACATTCCAAGCCAACTTACATTAAAATATATATAATATAGTTCCTATATGTATAAAAATATTATACATAAATTGTTTTATCACCCCGATATATTGGTCTCCGACTCTCACTACCTGAAAGAGACAAAAATAAGATTATTTTCTGAAGTTATTTTATTTGTGATTCATTTTGTAGAATTAATAATACGCTTATTTAAAGCTTAAATAATTAAAATTTTATAATATTTTATTCCAATAAATTTCGGCAAGAGGCGAGTTAAAGTTTAAAAAATAGTTCTAATAAAAATAAAAACATTGTACACATGTCAATCAATGCATTTTTCAAAGGCTTTAACGCCACGCGAATTGAGCTTAAACTTCATTTTAACACACACACACACACACACATATATATATAAGCAAATGTTTAAATAACTTCCTCCACCGAAAAAAAAACGAAAAAAAAAACAAGGAAAATTATCAACAGTCAAGAGTGAAATCATTTAATTAAAATAAGAAATGTAATACAAATAAGACGAAGTTTATTACATTAAATAAGTAAGAATGAAATAAAATTTTAAGCAAGTTTGCCAAAATAACCCTGAAAATTCATTAAAACTTAGATCAATAATTGAATTATAGATAAGGGCTAAAGAAAACACAAATATAGCCATAAACCGTAATAATAAACAACTTCAATACTTTAATTTTTAAATATTGTAGAAAACGTAATAAATAATTTATTATATGATTGATAAAGTTTATTAACTTATAATTTAGAACGTCTTATAATATAGAACGTATAGAAAACTTATAGAACGTCTAACATCTGCATTGAGTTGAATAATGAAAGAATTTTATGTGAGTTTGTATTGTCAATTTTTTTCACATTTTATTAAAGTTTTAATTGTTGTTTTTAAATTTGTTTTTTTTTATTTTTATTTAAATTTAAAATTTGCCCTCATTTTATTGACATTAAAATAGAATGGAATTATTTTATAAGAAATATCACTGAATATACCGTTATTATATACGATTATTTGGATATTGAATCTTAAAACTTAGACGAGGCTGATCCATACAAGAATTAACTATATATAATAAACAAAAAGTGGAAAATAAACCCTGATTCCAAATATCATCAAAAATGCAGATGTAAATTAAATTTGTCAGATCTCTTACGGAAGGGAAAAATTTCTTACTGCAAAACCATTTGAAATAAGATATATGGAATTGTTAAATTACGCCAATTATCAAAAATTAGATTCAACATAACATTTCAAAATAGTGAAAAGCTGAATATTTGACTTAGAAAAAGAGTGATTTTATTCAATATATTTGTATAAAAGTAATAATAATAATGCTGTATACATCAATATTGGGATTAATTTGATCTCAAATAGCCTAATTTAAATTCTCACAAATTCAATGATTACAAATTTGAAAATTTATAAAATAAACATTCAATGATTACAAATCAAACTTTGAAATTTATAAATTACTTTTTATACGAATTATATATAAGTAGGGTGCAATATAAACGATGTAAAAATTATTGTGCCTTTAATTGAAAAATATTAAACTTTAGTTCTATTGTGATGTGTATAATGTGTACAATATATAATACATACTTCGAATAACTGTGCATTTTTATTTGTTTGGATTAGACAAATCACACTACGCTACTACCGCACAGTATTTAATAAATTAACCTTTGTAAGTAAAAGTTTTCTAGTAAGGGTGAGATATACTCGTACTGTATAGTACCTTCTCTATAATGCAGTATATTGCAACTCTGAAATCTAAATATTTTATATTTTGATTCTTTTCCACTTGATTACAACTCGATTTCACAAACATATCCACACAAGTATTTTTAATTAAGATCTTATTTTTGATTAAAAACATTTGAAATTTTTTCTTTATAAAATGTATTTATTTTTTAAATTTAAAGCAGTTTTTCAAATTTGAAATTTTTTTTTGTATACATCGTTTCTTAATTACATTATTTTAATTATTATTTTAATTCTGTAAATATTATACTGTACTTAATACATTAATTTAATTAATTTTATATTAAATCAATGAAATAAATTTACATTAAATAAATTAATACTGTAAATAATATTTTAATTTTAAAATGAAAATATTTCTTTTTCATATCGTCTCAATAAAATAATAAAGTGATTACGATAGTTTAAATGTTAATTCAAAGATATATGTTTTATTAATTCATAAAAGTTTCTGATACGTGGTTATAGCATTAATATATCAGAAACATTATAAATAAATAATTTACTAAAAATTTCGAACGTAGGCCTGGGTGAATCACGATGAGCCTTTTTGCAGGCCCATTGTGAGTTTGACTAGACCTACAATCAATGGCGCGTTATATCTTCGTGGGGCCAGGCAAACTTGAATTAGGAAACCCCAAGTACAGTATTGACTTTAGACATTTTTCTTCGGAAAAATTTTCACTCATAAGAAATTAGTTTGAGGGTCCCAAGCAATTGCTCTTTTTGCCTATAGGATAACCCGCCACTGCTTACAATGGGGACCCATCGCCCCAAAACTGCCTTTGACTTTTTGACCATCTAGATTCGATCCCGTGTCACCCCGGAGCGGTAGAGTAACTCCTTAATCGCCTTGGCCATGGACTTTTTAATGTTTTGTAGAATAAAAATAAATAGTTTTATGTTTTTTCGATTGTTTTTTAATTTTAAATGATAAATATTTATTATTATTTTCATTTTTTTGCAAGGAGAGAGTATGGACAACGCATCATGCTCTTTTTAAAATGAAACTTGCGAATGCTAAAGTTTCAAATATTATATTATTTATAAAACAATATTGTTGTATACTTATAAAAAATGAAAAAATTCAGCTAAAATTTGGATAGAGATGTAAATTTAAATTTATACAGAATTCGAATGAAGCATTCGGTAAAAATCAATATATTGTATTGTATATATTGTAGACAATAAATAATTTTAAAAAATCTTTCTTTCAAAGTGTCTTACATTCAGTACCCATTTAAAAATCTATTTTTCTTTATTTTTAATGTTTAAACATTTATTATTCATACAAAAATAGAAATAAAGTTTTAAGTTTTATTTTGCTGCTAAAAACTTTTTTTATTTACTATTTAGAATTAAATTAGAATTCCTAGTAATGAAGGATTAGTTTGTAAAATATAATTGCTCTTAAAATTACATTTGCAAATCCAAATTAATAAAAATGCACAAAAGGAGAAAATAGTTACGCAACTCGCGGGCAAACTGCCATGGGTAGAAGTCTCTTGCGAAGATTTTATATGGAAAACTAAGAGTTACAAACATGAAGAAAACCAAGAAAACTCCACATGGCCATCTCGTTGGCAAAGCACGAACCCACCACCAACTAACAATGTTCTGTGGTTTTATTCACTCGGCCACTGGTGGGCGATAGTTATTTTTAAGAATTGAATTTGAAAAATTATTGCAACTTCGTAGATCTTGATTGTCTAATGGAAAAATTATACTACATGATTTATTTTTGCATTAAATTATAAAACTTAATCTTGATATTTTCAATTTTTTTCTAGCATTTTCAAGAACTCAGGAAATTCCACGAAATTAACAAGAATTCTGTAATTCCACGAAAACATGTTAAAGAAGTTCTTCAGAACTTTAGCATGAACTG